TACGACGATAAATATAGGCTTAAGTAAACATCGACATCTATAATGTACGAGATAAATATAGGCTTAAGAAACATAGCGACATCTATAATGTACGAGATAAATATAGGCTTAAGAAACATGCGACATCTATAATGTACGAGATAAACATAGGCTTAAGAAACATGCGACATCTATAATGTACGAGATAAATATAGGCTTAAGAAACATGCGACATCTATAATGTACGAGATAAATATAGGCTTAAGAAACATGCGACATCTATAATGTACGAGATAAACATAGGCTTAAGAAACATGCGACATCTATAATGTACGAGATAAATATAGGCTTAAGAAACATGCGACATCTATAATGTATCTTCTTTAGAAAAACGTTTTTACATCGTATTATCCAATCCCACTCAGTTATCAAAAACTTGTATCGTCTATAAACTTGTATCCTAGCAACAACTACAAGTCAAAAGTCAATTCAATCTCAACAGTTAATAGAGTAGACAGTAAGACAGCTTAGAATATGAATATATTAACCGTCTTCTGGTTAGTCTTTTATTAAATTTTTCCATGTCAATGCTTACTTGGTTTCTTTCATTATACATTTTTTTCTTCAGAACTCTTTGCTACAGTCTTTTAGAACGTCTTATTTATGTACAAAGAAAAAAATGTGTAAAAAATAGAGTTCGTGTTTGTTTGTTTTTTTGTGATTTTCAGAGTATATAAAATTCATTACTGAGATAAACATTGATTTCATATTTGCGTTTTCCATTTATGGTAATGCTATTATGGATATCTTCCGTCGTTCCTTATTTTGAAATATTGACCAGAAGGAAGGTAGCAAGTAAGCAGTACCCTATTGCCCACCATCCATGCTAAAGGATTTGGTGTCAGTAATATAACGCATCAACAGTTTAAAAGGGAAGGGGGGAGATATTTCAGTCAGCAGTACCCTATTACCCACCATCCATGCTAAAGATTTTGAATGGGAAGGGGTGATATTTAGTGGTATCGCACGGATTCGTATCCGGCTCGCCAACCCACCCTCTACTAAAAAACGGTAATAATATCTCTGTGGCCAAA